AGGTTGATATTCTGCCCGCCGAATAGGTAAGAAGATAAGATTACCAAAAAAATTAGTGCAAATTCAAAAATGTTAAGAGGAAGTAGGTAAACTTGCTGGAAGAATGTCAGGGCCTTGAATCCATAGTATATTTACAAATTTAGAAGTAATTGTCACTTGACTTTTTTCGTGAGAAGTTTTGGTTTCCAAGATCCTAAATTTCTTCAGCATTAAGGCCTTGCTGGCAGGTAGTTACAATATGAATGCGTGATCTCGACAAATATTATAATCGAACTCGCTCCGCAACTACTACATAATTATGGGTATGGCTACTAACTTTGCACCTGGCCTGGGGCCATGGCAGCATACACAGATGTGGAATGTGATTCTCACAAGTATTTCAGTGGCAGTGGCGTGGCAACTGCTAGACAATCTAATCCTCGGCTTTAGTGACGTTGACACCTTCGCCACCGCTGCGGCAACGTAATGAGCGCGAAAGATTGCGCTCCGTCACGCCGCGCCACGTTGGGCACGTATTACCTATTCTTCTGTTCCGACTCTGGAAGAAAACACATCTGAAGGCATTTACTGTATTTCACTGCGGACATTCACGCCATTGCAGTCAAAACAATGAGCATCAAAGAACATTTTATAAGTTAACGATGGTACATCTGCTTGTAGAGGGCCTACCTTGTGACTTTATAGGCTAAGTGTACTGTTTGCGGCCTAAACAGCTACATGTTACTCTAGTCTTTTACATCGGTTCTTTGCGGTAGGAGGTAATAGTGCCTATTCCAGCCAAATGACTCCTACATTCATGAAAATTCAAGAGCGCCAGAGGATGAGGGTACAACTTCATGATTGATAACGATTCCAAACAGCTACAAAACAATCCCTTTTGTCATTTACATTAGGTACAATTCCCGAAAGAAGCATCCAAGTAGAAGCCTATGCTAAAATTGGGCTTTGTGTGCTGGCAGGTCGTGTGCTTGTAAAGTCATCGTGCACTCCAGCCTAACATGCTGCGATGTTTCAACTTCTTTCTTGGGCATAGTGCTCTTTAATGTCTCCACCAAAAACGAGAATATCGTCAAGATGGATAATGCAATGCCTTGGGAATAGGCCGATCAGAGCTGTTTGCATAAGGCGTTGGGAGGTAGCCGCTGCGTCGCAAAGTAAAGGACATGGTTTGAATATTTATAAGGCCCGTTTGGCAAGTAAAAGCTGTTTTTTCCCGGTCTGCCTCTGCAGCCTTCACTTGACAGTATCCTAACTTCAGATCTATAATGGAGAACCAGTGCGACCCATGTAAGGAGCCAAATGAGTCATTTATGTGGGGGAGAAGGAAGGCATTTATTTTGGTTACGGCATTCAACTTCCCACAGTCGATGCATAATTGCAGTTTGCTGTCATTCTCCTTTACTGACGCAATAGGAGGGGCCCATGATGACTCGGATGGCTTTATAACCTCATCTCGAAGCATTTCTTCAACCAGATGGTTCACATCTCCCCGCCAAGGAGGTGGAATACTTTTGGGTGGTTGCCAGATGGGCCTAGTTTCACCAGTATCAATCTTATGCTTGACGATATTTGTTCGTCCTAGTCTTGAGCCTTGCCATGAAAAGATGTTCGCATACTTAAGAAGGAGTTGACGGAGTTCTTTTCTCTCGTCGTTGGGATTTTGAGTCAGCTGTGCACAAAGGTCATCCAGATTGCTCATGAGAATGGCTGCATCTTCATAAAGCGCGTTGCAAATGTCATGCACGTCATCTTTAGGTACCGAGGTATCTGTGTTGGCCCCGGTAACTCGATGAGTGAAAAAGGTCCCTTCTGCAAAATTTAGGATGGCTTTGGTGTAGCGTAGGAAATCGGTCCTAAGTATCACGTTCCAGGCCAGTTCTGGACATACGATGAATTTTACTGTCTACTGTACTGTGCA